TTGTGTATTTGTTTTGCAGAAATCATGTTCAGAAGGGGACAAAGTTCCAGTGGAAACCAAGGGGAGTTTCCATGGCTAAACTTCCCACAAATCAAGTCCGCTTCGACAATGAGGAAATGGAAGAAGAAGCTATCTGATATCAAGAAGAAGGAGGTTTATGTGCCAAACAGGATAGATTGGGAGTGGCTGCAAAGTGTTCGATATGAGGAGGAATTAGCTCCTTACCTTTTGAAGAAGTTTCAACATGAAGGCGAAGCAATGGTCTGTGACGGGTGGAGCCGGGTCTTCCGTATACAAGAGCCGGTTTATTTGGAGCTTTGTTTGGAGTTTTTCTCCACGGTATCTTTTACCGGGGGAGTGGATGTTTATCACCCGGCCAGCTTTAGTTTTTGCCTTGGGGGTGAGTATCGCCAATGCTCCATGGTGGATCTTGCCTGTCGATTAGGGATCTACGATCAGCCCTTGGTTTCAACAAACATCTTTCGGGCCTTTTTGGCACAAACTCATATGGTGTTCCCTAAAGGAGTTACAAGTACGGGCTGGTGGAATACTATTGGAAACAAAGTTTATATCCTGAAGTCTGCACAGGAAGGGAGCATCCGATCCCCAACACACCGCCTCATACACCGCCTTATTTCGTCCACCATCAATCAAAGAAAAGATGATGACAAGGTTTCCAACCTTGACGTCTTCTATTTATGGAGCATAATTACACCCGGCGTCTTTTGCAACATTCCTTGGTGTCTAGCTTCATATCTCTTGGAGGGTGCGGTCAAAGATCGCAAAACCTCCTGTATTAATGGTGGGATGTTTGTCACCCGATTGGCAAAATCATTCGGGTTAATGAACCGCGGTGCATGGAACTTCATGACATTGATCCCTACACCTCCGTTTAATCCCATTCTTTTCCGACGAGCACGGATAATTGAAGACTATGGTGGTGGCCATTATGCCATACCGAATGATGACCCCGTTGTTGGTCCCGAAGCACCGGGAAGGAGGGTAAGATCACGAAGAGAGCGGGATGTGGAGGACGAGCCGCCGGTGATTCCGGTCGAGAATGAAGACGTACCAATGGATTGGTACAATGTGGAGATGAGGCGGATGCAGGATCAAATGGCGCATGGGTTGAATTTTAGCAACCAATCCCATATCCGACTTTTTGACCACTTCAATATCCCACATATTGATGGTGGAAATTACCCATTTATTCCATCTTGGGATGAGGTGATTGGTGCGAGACGAATTGGAGCCGGAGGAAGTGGAGCTGCGGATGATGAGGAGGACGAAGATTGATTTTTTGTGTTTTAATCAAAAAAAATTATTTTTTGTTTTGTTTTTATTCTTATTTGGTGTGTATGACTTGTTTAAGATTTTATTTTTGTTTAATGATTGTATGCTTTAGTTATTTTTCAGGATTGGATTAGGATTGCTTGCTTAGGAAGCGTTTAGAGTTATAGCAAACGGGTGTTATAACGAGTGAAAGCGAGTCAAGGAAGCGGAACTTTAACGTCAAAGTGTCGAGTCCGGTCCTAGGGGTATGAGCAATTGAGTCAAATCGTGAGGAAGAGTTAGAGAAGTTTTTAGAGGCTGAAACAGTTGCAAAATACCAATTTTTTCTGTTCAGTGGCCTACTCGTCGAGTGCACTTAACTGACTCGACGAGTCGCCTTGTATTTCCACATGATCTGAGAAGGCGCGCTGGTACTCGACGAGTCGACCATATGACTCGACGAGTCAGTCATTTTTTATACCGACGGACTGCTGATTTGATGCTGCTACTTGTACCATTTGCTCACTTATTCTTCCATATCCATTCTTGAAGATCCTACACTGATTTCCGCATATTTGGAGCGACCCACACGAGACGAGACACCCAAGGCATGAATGAGATGTTACTATGTCTAAAGTTAATTGAAGTTGGAGCTTAAATGAGAGTGATCAACCTATCCACTCCTATCCCAGGGGAGTTTGTTCCAATTCCCTCTTTAGTTTCTTTTTATGTTTTTATGTATCATATGCAATGAGGGCATTGCATCACATAAGTGTGGGGTAGGGGTTGGTTACATAATAGTCAATTTTAAAAAAATTTGCATACCAAAAGTATTATTTAGGACTTAATTAGAAAATTTTGGTAAAAAATTAGGATTCCATGTTAGAATTGTGTTGATAATTGCATGAAGACCCAAATGTTTAGTTGAGCCTATATACGTTCTAGTGCATTTGTGGCTTCCTTATTCCAGTGAAATCATGAGACAAAAACACGACCTTGCTCAGCCTGAGGGATGCAATATGTTTAGCAGCCTAAACCTGAAATGTATCCAGGAAAATTTTTATCGTTAGCCAATAAAGGTTGAGATTGAGCGGCCCTGCTTAAGCATGTAGGGATTTGAGTGAAAAATTGAGTAATACATGAAAAAAAAGAGAGAGAATTACAAGAAAAGTTGTAAGAATTTTGGAGCAAATGAAGTGAAGACCTAAAGATCAAAATTCCAAGAAATTCAAAAAAGTTGAAGATACCAAAGATAAATCAATACAAGGTGGTGAATTCAAAGATATTAAAGATCAAATTATCAAGGAAGTGAAGAATTCAAAGAGCTCCATAGTGGTATCAAAAAGTTGTAATTCTAGAATATGTATGCTTGGGTTGCTCAATTAAAAATACCATGAGGGTAAAGAGGTTTTCTGAGGATGGATTCGGAGGGTTGCATAAAATGAGCATAGTTCGGGGTGAGTGGGCGAATGTTTATGAGGATTGTGAGTATTTAGAGTATGGGGGTTTTTTAGGAAAAATTTTAGACACAAATGCATGCGTTGCGGTCTTGGCATAATGGCTGGGGTAGATTGGAGTTGTCATACATAATTCTAATGTGTTAAAATTCAGTTTTGCTTGGGGGCAAGCAAAAGACAAGTGTGGGGTATTTTGATATGTGCATATTTAGTGTGTATTAAGTATAGTTTTTTATTCATATATTAGCTAAATTATCGCATATTATGGACAAAAGGTACTTAAAAGTGTTAAATTATGTTTTTCAGTCCAAAGATGAAGCTCGGAAGCAAAAGGAAGAAGGGGAAGCGGTTAGGAGCTCGAGAATGGAATGAAGAAGAAAAACACTAAAAAAGGCATCCACTCGTCGAGTCAGATAGCCTACTCGACGAGTCCAGTCGAGGAATCAGAAGGATAATGACTCGGAATTCCAGATAGTTATCGCAATACGGGGAATGTGAGAGGGACTCGACGAGTCACCACTTGACTCGACGAGTCGGATCGCTTATTTAAAGATAACTCAACAGATCGATTAGGGAGAGTTCTGGGACGATTCAGAAGTGTTTTGCTGTGATTAAGAAGCCAGAAGAACCCTAGAAGTCGACAAAGAAAGCTAGAATTCAATTCCGGAAGTAATTAAGGCATAATTTCATCATTCTACTTATTCTTTTGTTTTATCAATGTGATTAAGCAACTTGAACTTGTTTGTTTGCTGTTATTTACTTTAATTCTGAACTAAAATCTTTAGACTTCTGTTTGGGGATACAAAGTTGACAATATGGTTTGATTGATTGGTAGGATTAATTCCAAGTTGGTGAATTTTTGTTATTTTAGCTTGCTAAAGAACCTTGTGTGTGAATAATAATTAATTTTCTGTTAATAGGAAGATAATTGATTAGCATGAACATCTATTGATTATCAACCTCATATGATATGTGACCACTATACTATATGTCTAGGATTAATGAATATGAAACTAGAATTAATAAGAAAATTGAGTAAATTCATGTGCAAGCTTGTAAGATGACCATCAAACAAGAGGTTAATTAAGAATAATAAATTAATTAGCTATTGCAAGTCTAACTTAACCCGAATAATTAATCTAGTAAATATAATTGAATTAAGCAATTGGCCACTGTTTGAGTTAGTTTATTTGCTAAGGATTAGGGTAGTGAACATGAACCTAATCACTTGAATCGGTAACCAACGAAAGAATTAATCCATTGCACTATTACCTTGACATCAACCATAGAGTTAACCGAGTTGAACTAAACAGAAGTTCCTTTCCAATTATTGAATCTAGTTACATTGTTATTTTCTAGTCTTAAATTAGTTATAGTTAGTAAGTTTCTAGTCTTGTAAAACTAGAGAAAAACCCCTATTTATTAATCAACTTAGATAGAATTAGTTTTTAATTTAATTTGCCGTTCCCTGTGTTCGATACCCTGCTTATTTAGCTATACCACAATTGATAGGTTCACTGCCTTTTGTGTGTTATTTGATAATTAAAGTAGGTTTAAAACTAAGTGAGTTTTACACACATCACCAAATCATCCCCTACACAAGTTAGAAACCAAGTCCATCAGTTGGTACTCTCAAATTCCACAACAGCATAAGCCAGTGGATATGTTCCATTATTACCATCAATTCCCTACATAAGTAAAAAATTTACAATTAAAGCACCATCAATAACCTAAAATACAACTTTTTATAATATAAATGTAGTTCATATGAAAAAAGGTTACCAACGCTGAAAGTATTTGTCCTGGGTATGGACCCTTCATAAAAGCACCATCGAGACCAAGAAAGTCTCTTCTTCCAGCAACAAATCCCTTTTTTAAAGGACCAAGACAGATGTATATGCGCTTGAAAGTTCTAGTTTCTGAATTTGGATTTGGTTCACTCTCTACATCAATCTTTACAGTCGTGTCTGGGTTATGTTTTTGAAGTTCTTGAACATAGTCTCTCAATAGAGCATACTGACCAACATAATTCCCTCGCACCTGATTGAGAGCTTCAATTCTAGCCCTAAACACTTTCATCTTGGAAAGTCCCACTTGGTAATCACGTTGTAGTTGTTCTTGTAAAGCACGAATTGGAATAGTTGGGTTAGATTCCACCTGAGTTGTAATCTTTTTGGTGAGAAACTTATAAGTACAAGCTTTAACATTCCGAGTTTGGAGACAACGGTGTTCTTTTTTGTAAGACTTGACCATCCAGTTTATATCACGTTTCTATTTACTAGCGTAGAGGCTCCACGGGCACTTCTCTTCATCTTCATTGTTGACTTCTTGTTGACCTTCCCCACTTTTGTCTAAGTTTCCCAGTTTTGGTATTGTCCCCCTACATACAACTCTTACCATATTCTTGTCATTTTTTTCAAAACCAAGTTCCCTTCTTGTCTCAATAGCATGGAATTTAACTCTTTCTTTAAACTCTTGGGCTGTATTAAAGGTTTGAAGGATATAAAATGGTTCATCAACATTTGCTTCATCATTCTCATGAGCTCGTTGGATAGCTTTGATGGTCTTCTTTCGTTGACCAACTGGACCTTCATCTGAAGATGATCCTGACAAAAGTACCTCGTTATTTAGTACTTCATTAAGCTCTCCAACTTCATTCTCTTCTTGTACCACATTGTCATTCATACCTCCAACCCACTATGCATCCATATCAATGTTATCATTGAAATCATTCATGTCAACTTCTACATCATCTAAGATGTTTTCATTGTCAACATAAAAGTCTATATCATCGGAATCACTGGATTTATAACCACTATCATCGTCAAAGTTGTCCCCACTTCCAAATTCTTCTTCGTTTATGTCCTCAAACATGTCCCCACTTTCAAATTCAGCCCATGGATCTTCTCCACCCTTGTTACCATCCCTAAATTTAACTTCATTCGTGTGCTCAAATTTGTCCCCAAATTCAACTTCAACGCATGGATTTCCTTCCTTGTTATTATCCCCATTATCAGTTATGTCCATATTGTCATCTCCAACAACATTTGTCTCCAACAACATTTGTCTCCCCAGTATCATACCAATCTAAGAAAAGCCTACGAGAACATGATGGAGGTTCAATAATTTCCTTTATTTGAACTTTTGCTTGATTTGGGGACATTGTGTACGTATGTAATTGGGTTTTTCCATGCTCAATATAGACTTCAATCAACTTATGCTTGGAAATGAAGGTACCCACATGTCTCACATCATGATCACTACCCAAAGAAAATAACCCGAAATCTAAATCTGAAAGGTCGTTTAAAGTGATAGTACAAAGGTATACCTTCATCAACATAGCCTAACTGTTCCATCATTTCATCAATGTCATGCACTGAGAAAGTATCCATGTCGAGTAAGTCTATATACGTTTGTTTTCCTTTGATGTAATTTCTTCCAGGAAATTTGGTGAACTCTCCACCATGGTATAACCTAATGGAAAAGATTGTCGGATGCCCCCTGTGAAATAGCCCACTTCAGATAAGGTTTCAACAAAATCCAAGTTATAGAAGATTGAGAGTGAGAGAATACTTACAGTAACGACGTCCAACATCGATTTCCTCCATATTTGCACGTATACGCCACAACACCATTGCATTTTAGAGGAGAAGATATCACGATTAGGGTTTTCTTATCGGAATGTTGAAATTTTTCTGGGTTTTCTGAATGAAAAGATGGAGTACAGAGCAAAATGATCGCCTCTTCGTATACAACATGGCGGTAACACTAGAATATTAAAAAGACAAAAATACCCCTGCGTGCAAGTGGGGTGTTTTATCACTAGAATATTAAAAAGACAAAAATACCCCTGCGTGCCTTGCACGTGGGGTGTTTTAACGGAGCAACTAGACGGGATGTTAAGTGAGGGACCAGGAGGGTTATGAATTTTACCATTAGGGATCATCCGAGTTAAAAATCTTGCTCAGGGACTAGGCGCGCAGGTTACCCCAAACCACAGGGACCATCCGTGTAATTTACCCTTATTATAATTTAATGAATTAAGAATAAAATAAGCGTCAAATTTGAAGTGTGGGATAAGACCGATATCTTTGCATAAATATGTAGTGGTCGAAACAAGGATTCCGAAGATATAAAGAATGCCGAAATCCGAGTTATAACGAAGAAGTTATGACTTGGCGAACTTTCGCGACAGAACCGGCAACGCTGAAAGACGTAAAAAGTGAAATTTACGTTAGAGAGATATTTAGCCTTAGTGATCTAAACGAAAGTCGTAGAGTTTGTTAAACTGAGAGCGTGCATAAAAAGAACCCCCAAATCTGACTTCGTATGAGGAAGTTATGATTTTTCAAAGTTTCGACTTAGAAGTATGCAACTCGAATACTCGATTTGAGACCGAACAGTTTTTAGCCGAAACAATCTAAACAATAATCGAAGATCTCGTTAATAGTAGTGAAACAATAAAAAGATAGGCGAAAACGGACGTCGGATGAAGAAGTTATGAATTTATAACAAAGTTTTTTTGTCTCGGCCTACTAAAAATAAATAATAAAAATAAATTCAAAAGTAGCCGACGGAGTCTAAACAAAATTGCAGAGCGTAGTCTTACATACATGTGGATATAAAGAACATCGAAAACGGAGTTCGTATGAGGAAGATATAAATTTTTGAAGTTTATTAAATATTTTCGATATTTAATTTAAATATAAAATACTGATATTATCCGAAGGGGGGGGGGGTAGTCAGCGACCCTATCCTCATTACGTGCAGCATAATTTCAATTTACGCCCAGCGTAAATCGAAGTTCCAGCCCCCTATAAACGGATGTCGAGGGCAGCCGATTCTTTTGCTTATTTCTTCCTTTTTTCTCGCGTTTTTGCATCATTTTTCATGCAAGAATTATCCCGAACCTCCGGTATCATTCCCGAGCCCCGAAGCAAGTTCCGAAGCCCCGAAGATCCCGAGAAGTGCAATTCCCGAGCCGAATCTCTGCCCGCGAGGAGTTCGGTTTTTGTGAAGATCTTCCAAATCTAACGAAGAATACTACTTCTACAAGCCGTAGTCTTGTCCGATCATCTTCTGATCAAGTGAGTGTGTGGTTACTTTCTTCTAACGCATAATTATGAAGTATTTCATACGAAATACGTGTTATGTGTATATTTTGTTGTTATATGTGTAAATATATATTCACTTTCTTCTATCTCATAGATATGATTTATTCTCTATGAAATACGTGTTATGTGTATGTGTCTCATCTGTTGTTTGGAATATGTATTGAATGAGAATGCTATATAGGTTTTAAACTATGTATAAAAATATATATTTTTATCTACTAATATGTCGGGTAGAACATGGGTAGATAGTTGTGTGATAAACAGACGAGAGGCCTCGATGTTGTTTTTTATTTAGTCATCTAGCGGAGTTTAGATGACGACCACAAACTTTTCTAGACAGTCCTGTAGAACGCTAGCAGGTTCGCAACCTGTAGGTGTTAATGAACTTGGGTGTTCATTCGTTGTACTCCATCCTCCTCATGGTTGCCTTATTTGACATATATTGCCAGGAAACCCCCGAATGCATATGTTGTCGTCCCGATGAAATATTCTAAGACTAGGTCCCTTGTGTTAGTTATTTTAGGGACGTAAAGTGAGAATAACGGGAATGGGTAATTGGGTTATTGTTGGTTGGTGGAATTAAATATAATAATTTATTGTGGGTTGAAAACCCTATATGCTCACCAGGCTCCCAAGCCCGACCCACTCAGTTTTATTTGTATTACAGGAAGTGGCGCAAGGGCATAAGATGGATGAATCATCAAGTTGTTTTGTTTACCAGTCTGTATGTGTATATATTTGTTGAATGACTTGTAATGTTATCGTTTATGCTTTATGGTCTGTATCGGAACATGACATGCCGAGTTTTGATTATATAATGAAAATACATTTCTTTTATGAAATGCTTTGGTAAATATTATTCTATCACATTTTGTTTTTGGGAACAAATTCCAGAACTCTTTCAAATTAAAAGGATTTACTCTGAAATTATTTTGAAAGCATAAATGAAAATCAGTATTTTCTGGCCGAGATTTTGAGGATGTCACAGTTGTTATCAGAGCTTTAGTTTAAGCACACTAGGAATTTCTAGGATTTCTAGACTTAAACTTAGAATGCTAAGTGCAGTTTTGAGATATGTGTCTGTTATGTTTTAGACACGAGCACTAGTTTATTTTAGGAAAGTTGCTTAAAATGCTTTTATGTGCTAAATGTTATATGTTGCCATATATGATATTATTTGTTCGGATCTATGGTCTGTTGCCGACCGGATCTAGAAACCTTATGTGTGTAGGATTCTAAGCGTACGTATACGATATTAGAACTAGCATGTAAACGTCTCGGAGTGATAAGGATGATTTGAATATCTATCATGAATGAGGATCTAATTTCACCTTATTTGGGGTGTAGATCAAAAATGGTGAGAACAAGAACTGGAGTTGGAAATGCTGATGAAAACAGGAATCAACCACTAGTGATTGAACAATTACCTATTGTAGCTACAGCACCAGAGCCAATAACAATGGTTGGTGTACAAATGATGATTCAAACAATGTTGGATCGTCAAATGGAGGAGACTAGGCGGTTACTTCAATAGAATCGTGAAGAACTATCAATTCATGTGGAAGAGCCCGAATTAAATGAAGGGCACTCTGAACGTGGAAACTTCAGTGGATCTATTAGTCAAGCCAACCCACCAATAGTTAGGCAAAACAACCATGATGGAAGGAATGATGGAATGGGATGCAAGTACAAGGACTTTCTAACTTGCAAACCATCGATCTTCACTGGAAAGGAGGACCCGATCGGAGTGATGGATTGGATCTCCGAAATGGAGTTAGCCTTTATGACTTGTGGCTGCAGAGGCAAGTTGTAGACCACGTTCGCAGTGCGTCAGTTCTGAGGTGGATCCGTTTTTTGGTGGAACACTATAGGGAAGACTTTAAGCCCTAATGAGCCACTGCAGTTGTCATGGGGAGAGTTCTTGATGCAGTTCAAGCGCAAGTTCTGCTCTGCTCAAAATCTGTTAGAGTTGGAGAACAAGTTTCTGACATTAACAAAGGGCAGCATGTCAGTTGATGAATACAGAAATGCTTTCACCAACAAAATGGATTTTACCTTGCGCATCGTTCCAGATGAGCTGAAAAAGTTTGACCGGTATGCAAAAGGACTCTCATGGGAGTACGTTGTGCCCATTCGTCAGGCACCTACTCTAGAGGAAGTTATTTGGGCTACCAAGTCTGTTGAGGACACGATCAAGGGAAGATCCTCCAGCAAGGTTGACGTTGGCGAGAAGAGAAAGTATGAAGGAACTTCAGGTTCCAATAAGAAAAGCAAATTTTCGAAGTCTGATTCGAAAAAGTTTGGAGGAAAAGGAGGCGAAGCGAAATGGTGTGAGAAGTACAAGAAAAAGCACTTTAGGAAATGTATTGAGGATGTAACCTGCTACAAGTGTGGAAAAATTGGGCATTTTGCCAATGAGTGTCCGTCCAACAAAAGGATGTGTTTTGGTTGTAATGAAGAGGGGCACATTTTGAAAGACTGTCCGAAGAAGAAGGAGGCGGCTAAGCCCAACATTCCACCAAAGCCGAAGGCGAGATCCTTCCAGATGACACTTGAGGCTGCAAAAGATGAAGCTGATGTTGCTTCAGGTACCTTACTCATAAATGAATTACCTACTCAAATTTTGTTTGATTCTGGAGCCAACTACTCCTTTTTTTCGCATGAGTTTGGTAGAAACTAGCTTTGCCTATTGATAGATTAGATAATGCTTTATTAGTCGAAGTTGCTAGTGGCAAGTTTGTACCTGTTAGCCATCGTATAAAAAACATCTTAATCGACCTTAATGGGAATAAGTTTCACGAGGAATTATTGCCTATCGAACTTAATGGTTTCGACATCGTGTTGGGAATAGATTGGCTTAGCGCCAATGATGCCGAAATATTATGCAGAAAGAATATATTAAAAGTAAATCTGCTAGGGGAAGAGTCGTTTATGGTGTATGGGGCCAAACGCAGAGTGAATTCTGGAATCATTTCCCTAATGAAAGCCGGAAAGTGTTTGACCAAGGGATGTACATCAGATTTAGCATTCGTGATTGATGCTAAGAAGGAAAATAAGGTGATGCAGAGTATTCCAATGGTGTGTGATTATCTGGAAGTATTTCCTGAAGATCTTCCTGGATTACCACCTGATAGACAAGTGGAGTTCATAATAGACTTGTTACCAGCAACCACGCCAATAGTAAAAGCACCTTATCGATTAGCACCGACGGAGATGAAGGAGCTGATGATGCAACTTCAAGAGTTATTGGACAAAGGTTTCATTAGACCTAGTTCATCACCCTAAGGAGCTCCGGTGTTATTCGTGAAGAAGAAAGATGGAAGTATGAGGATGTGCATCGATTACAGAGAGTTGAACAAGGCAACAATAAAGAATAGATACCTGTTGCCAAGGATTGATGACCTATTTGATCAATTGCAAGGTTCGAGCTATTTCTCGAAGATCGATCTAAGGTTAGGATATCATCAGCTAAAAGTGAGAGAACAAGATATCGAGAAGATTGCATTCAGAATTAGATATGGACACTACAAGTTCTTGGTTATGTCGTTTGGACTAACCAATGCTCCAACAGCATTCATGGATTTAATGAACAGGGTTTGTAATCCGTTCCTTCATAAATCTGTGATAGTGTTCATTGATGACATTCTGATTTACTCGAAAATCCAAGAGGAGCATGGCGGACACTTGCGAGAAGTGTTAGAAGTCTTGAAGAAGGAGAAGTTGTATGCAAAGTTCTACAAATGTGATTTTTGGATTCGAGAAGTCTAATTCTTGGGTCACGTGGTCAACCAAGAAGGGATAATGGTTGATGCAACAAAGATT